CTAGGACCAAATACATGTATAATCCCATTTGCCTTTACGTTTGTAAATTTCACAATCCCTCCAAGATAAAAGAAAATATTAAAAAGAAAGGCAAAAACCAAAAGATGTTACAGAAATTGTTATTATTTACAGCCATCAGTAAAGACAGTTGTCAGTAAGACCTTCAAAATAATTTTTTTTTGAGACAGGGTCTTCTCATGGGCTAAAGTGATCCTCTCACCTCAGCCTTCCCCACACCACCCCACCCCTGGTACCTGAGACTACAATAGTGTGCCACCATGAGTTCTTAATTTCTAGGCTCTAGTTTCCTTCTCTGTATTCATCCTCTCTTTAAGATATAAAGCGCAAAGTCCCTAACACTTTTCTCAGCTATTTATCACTAGTATTTGTGTTTTTAAAAGTTAATTACTTTGAAAATTGCTAAGACAGTAGATTTTAAGTGTCTCACCACAAATAAATATGTGAAGCTTTTTAAAGCATTAATTAAATATAAGTGCTGAGGGTGTAGCTCAAGTGGTGGAGTGCTTGCACTCTGAGTTCAAACCCCAGAACCATCAAGAAAATTTTTTTAAGTTAATTATAGCTTCCTAAGACATTCTGTACTATTTAGGCTACTGATATTTATACATGAGTAGTAGAAGCATATTTGCAAAAATTCTAAATTTTAAAATCCTCTTCCTTTCTCACTTCATTATTCTATATGTTAGAAAACAACCAAACTGGCCAGCTCTGCCTTGATTCTTTCCTTACAGTATCTGTTTAGTAAGATATAATCTACCAAATGCTTCTGTAGTGTTCACATCAGCCACTGAGCTCCTCAGTGCTACTGAGTTGGACATAAATCAGGTCAACAGAGAAATACAGTCACACATGTGGAAAACAGTCATCAGGGATTAGAGACAGAGGTATCTGGTGAGACTTTCAGGTTTTACAAGGAGCTTAAAAAGAAGAATGATATCTTCTGCACTCTTCCTTCCTCACACAATAAAAAGAATCTCTGAAAAGTTTTTAGTTGTCAAACAGTTCCACCACAAACTATATCTGCCCAGAATAAATCTTCTAATCTCACTGCTTGTTTCCTCATCTATAATATGACACATAGCAGTAATTCAAAAGTTATAGAATACCTAATCAAATGTACTCCTTATTGAGATCAAAGTTTATTTATTTACTTACTTATTTATTTATTTTAGCTAAGGCTCCCAAGATAAGTGCTTAACTGATTTTTGAACCCAAATGTGGAAGGTCATTCACTCAAAACACTCCTGGCCAGGCTACTGCCCTCACTTCAGCCTGTACTCTTAATTCAAAGTCACCTTCTGCTCTAAAACCCATTGGACGTGCTTAGGCTTGGGTGAGTCTGCCCAGGGGGAGCAGGGAAAGAGCCTGTGACCTCCTGAGGCTCCTTCCTCCCTGTGCTGCCCTCCCAGTTGCTGCAGCAAAGGAAGCCCCATGGCAGCACAATCCTGTTGTTCCTCCTACCTCACCCCTCACCCTTCCAAAGACAGACTATAATCCTTGGAAACAGTAAGAGATTTGACTTTGGTTAGGTAAATAGACATATTAACAGAATAATTCTGCAGAGAAAGAGTAAAAAGGAAAAAAGACAACTAATCTGAGAATTTTACCAAAATCACTCATTTCTCTTCAAAGTAAGAGGTAAAAATTGTCATGTGTATTCAATAGCTAGTCCAATCCTAAAAATTTAACACCATTTCTGGTTGTCAGCACCCTGTTCCCTCTGATTGTTAGTAAAATGTTCTTGAAATCTGTATGTAACGATAACCTAGAAATTGTGTTTTTCAAATAAGCAAAAGTCAAACAATGCCCATTGGCCTCTCTCTTCTATTGAATGCTTATTTTACATTTTTGTTTCATAGAAATAAAACTTTTTCCTTCTACTGTACACTTCTATTGTATACTTCATTTCTTTTCCCTCTCCATTTAAGGTCTAAACATTTCTTAAACTGTCTAACCAAACATTTTATCACTAATATTGAAAACACTGAATGAACGTCTTCCTGCTAAACTCAATATATTCTGCCTTTAGGAAAATATTGAATCAGAAAAAAGTAATCTAAGTACTGAATTCATGTATAATGATTAAAAGAATTTAATCCTGGAACAAGAGAAGAGTTTTACAGAAACAGAGTAACTAGAAAAATGAGTAATGAGGTATAGAAATGGGCTGTGTACTTATTTATCAATGTAAGGTCAATTAAAGAATGTTGGAAACCAATTTTGTTCACATAAAAAAAAAAAAAAGGAAAATATTGAGAAGTGAATCAGATTATTTGGAGGCAAATCCTCTATTTTCACTGATTTGGATGTGAAGGATGACTTCCAAAGTTTGCTATATAATAATTACTTTTCCTACAGAAAATATATATAGCAATCTCTTCTGGGAGCTTCTGGGTCCCAGGCCCCTAACTACTGTGAAATACTGAAATTACAGTGGGAATTCCATGTGGGAGTCAGATTATAGCCAAAAAAATTGGAATGGGGTCCCTAAGTCAGATCATATTTATGAACTATAATAATTTCACCCAGACTCAACAAAAGGAAGGGATAGAAAGGTTATCTCTGGGTCCCTACCTGACAGTGTATCTGTACAGCTGTCCCTCAGAGCTCTTTTACACCATTCTAAAATACTCATGTCACAATTTATAACAAATCCTTCTGACATATCAAAAACATACTAAATCCACTCATGTCGTTTCCTGAGATATCCAATTTCAGATTTAAAACACTGCATTAGTTTTCTCACTCAACATGTACTAGACAGTAGTCTAAACTAAACTCTAATCCAGTAGTCTAAACCAAACTCTAGATGCTAAGGAAAGGGTTTTAATATATTGATTCTAATCATTCAAAGTACAACAATAGTTTTCTTTCTCAACTCAGTTTCCTACTATTTTATTTCTATTTTGTCTCTAGCAATGTCACTATTTTAAGAACCAAATTAAACATAGTCATGGGAAATCCTCTTCCTGTTTCTGTAAATATTCCATACTTTTTCAGGAAATATCTAGTGGAACTATATAGTACAGAAGTCAGATTTAGACCCAAATTCTGGTTCTGCCATTCACACAACTTAGGTATCCTAAGTCACCCTTGCTTTCTACATTCAATGGGGAGAATAATACCTACCCAGGGGCACTGCAATCAGAATGAGATCATGTATCTGAGACATACAGCACAGATCCACGCACATAATCATCACTCAATACATAGTAGCTATGATTTTTACAGTGCACACACTGAAAACTCTGGAGGTGAAGAAAATACATCCTTAATTCTACTACCCTACTAACACAACACATATTTCTTTATAATTTATGTCCACATAAAAACTTTTTTTACATTATTGTAACTGAAATATGTAATTTTATTCTTTTTAACATAACCGCCTTTCCACATTACTATGTAGGGACCATAATTACCCCTTTACTTTGCTGCATGATATGCCATTAAGTGGATTACTATAATTTAAATACTAAACCTCTATCAGACATTTGAGGTGTTTTGATATTACAAATAATGTTACAATAACATTTTCATGAATATAGCATTTTCATTCTGTAGGATTCTTACCTGAGGATGAATTTCCAAAGCAGGCTTTTCAGGGTAAGCATGAGCTCTTTCATGGCTTACATTAGTTTTGTCAAACTGCTTTCCACGTGTTTAGACAATTTATAACTTGTCTTCCAATATCATAAACATTATTTCATTTTCTTACTTTTTTAGACAGGGTCTCACTATATTGCCCAGGCTGACCTCAAAGTTGAGATCCTCCTGCCTCCACCTCCCTAGTAACAGATTACAAGTGTGTGCCACAGCACCCAGCTAAATATTATAATGTCCTCTCCAATATTCAACACTAATACTAATAGCTTATATTTACTGAGTACTTACCAAGCACTGGTCTAAGTACTTTACATACATTATTTCATTATCCTCACAACAAATCTTGGAAGTAACTAGTATTAGTTACCCTCTTTGGCAGATGAGGAAGTAAAGGTTCAGGAAGTTCAAAAGCAGCTAAGTGATAGATAGTACTTGAACTCAAACTCAGATCTTATCTAACACCACAGCACTATTAGCCTCATGGCTGCCAGTGCTGCTTTACCCTTCCTCCCCTACAGAACAGTAGATGGGAAAAGATGTTAAACTGATGTTTCAATATGCAATTTGTTGGCAACTAGCAAAGTTGACCATTTATACATATGCTAAAAAAATTTTTTTTCTTCATATGTCATTTGTTCTTAAGCAGCTTCTACAAATTGGTGGCAGTGAATCTCTTCCCTGTGTATAGCTTATCAATATGTATGTCAGCACAACCTTCTCCCAAGAGGCCCCATACCTTCTTGATGACTTCACTGAGGCATTAATTTATAGGAGAAGGGACCCTTCATTTTCTTCCTCCTCCTTCCTGCTCAACATGAGCTGAATACACATATTTTCTACAAAGATATGTCCATATCTTTTCACATCACATACTCATGTCATAAGGCTCCTGGTTGGAATGACCTACCATGAGTGAGAGTGAAGATTCAATGACCACTTAAGGGTGACAAACTACAATAATCTGTTTAGCTGAACCAGTTTACCAGGGACTGTTTGTTTATTTGTTTGTGACAGGGTCTCTGCGTAGCTTAGGCTGGCCTCAAACTTGTGATCCTCCTGTGTCAGCCTTCTGAGTGCTGGGATCACAGAACCACCATGCCTATCTATCAAGGCTTTTGAGAACTAATCCATTCCCCTACACCCTGTCACTCTTTCCTCTTTCTCCCCATCTTCCTAGTTCCCTTTTGCTAAGACAAAGACTGAAATATAAAGGTATTTTGTGAATGTGTGATCCAAACAACGTGGTGATCATTCAAAAATGATCTCTCATAATGGACAGAAACATCCTTAAAACCCCATCTATGGCTTATTAAGCAAAACCAGATTTACCTAATGAATTTAACTTCAATCAATTTTCAAATATGTTCCATTACCTGCATTATGTCTTGCAATATATCCAAGTGCCCAGGCTGCAGCCTCCTTGACTCCAGGATCAAAATCTTCCAAACATATCACCAGTGTGTCCAGTGCTCCACAGTCAACTATAGCCTGTGCAAGCTGAGGGGAATGTTTACCAACTGCCCGCAACACAAAGGCTGCTGCTTTCTTGTAGAAACGCTACCAAGGTAAAAAGAGCAAACCCACATGAATTGAGCAATTACATACTTCAAAACCTAAAACAGACCAAAAACAACATAAAGGTAACATTAATACAAATAAAGCTCAATAGCTTTTGAATATAAAAGATGAAAAATTACTGCAAAATCATTTGATTATTTGATATTCCCCCATTGCTTCTGCTCAGTAAACTGAAAAGACAAAGGTAAGTTTTAAATTATATTTCGAATATTTTATTCTGAATCATGCACTTGGAAATTATAAATAAAACATTGTGCTTTCTCAAATTCATAAAAGAATGAGATTTTAAGTATCTGCCTTACACTGAAAAGTGCTGTTTAACACATGGGAACTCTTAGATTGTTAGCATGTGTAACTAAACTCTCTGTCAACTAACTAATTCATTTCCTTTACTTGCCCTTAAGTTAAGAAGCATGGTAGGCCTTTCATGACCTCAACCAATCTTTCTGGTGTCCTAAGTTACCCTGAAATAACAACCTGGTTCCAAAATGTACTTACCAATCACCATATAAACAGAAAAGCAAAATATTCATAATGTATTTAAATGGCAAATAAATAAGCTAAACAATGGGATGTTATTAACACACCCTCTAGAAATGCCTTTTTGATAAAAGCAAATTACCATGATATGAATTTTAAATACTGCTTCATAGTTATAGTATTCCTACATATAAATTTTATCTGATTAAGGAATGAAAAACTGAAACATGAGACTAAACTGTTCTCTTCATATTGCTAAAAAAATTTAAATGTATCGGAAACATTTGGCTATAATATTGCTTATGGTTAAAATAACACAGCGATAGTCTTGTAACTCTTTTATCAATAAAACCCAATTAGTCTACTTCACATTGTGATTCATTCATGATACAACATTTTGTTTATTCATTCATCTGTGGATGGACAGGTTGTTCCCACCTGTTAGCTATAGTGACTAATGCTGCTATGAACTTTTGTGTGACTTTTGTAAGAGAACTGTTTCTTTTGGATGTATAGCTAGGAAGATAACTGCTGAGTCATATGGTAACATTTAACTCATTGCACCTGCCAAACTATTTCCAAAGAAGGTGCCCCATTTACATTCCTGCTAGCCTAGAATTTCTGCTAGAGATTCCATTTCTCCACATTTTCATAAACACTTATGATTTTTCTTTCTTGTTTTTTATTATGGCCATCCTAGACGGAGTAAAATGATATCTCATTGTGTTTTCATTTGCATTTCCCAGTGACAAAAGTTGTTGCATATCTTTTCAGATGCTTGTTTGCCATTTGCAGGTATTCTTTGAGAAATACTTATTCAATTTTTTTGCCCATTCTTCAATTCAGTTGTTTTTCTTTTTATTATGCAAATGGAGAGTTAATCTTAAAGATGCTAAGAAAGATACGTGCCTAGGTTATGATAAATTAGCAGAATGAAATGGATAGGCCAAGACCCTACCCCTACCTACAGGATCCTTAACTATTATGGAAACCAAATAGGCAGAACTGAACAGAAACAAAGAGTAGCACCAACTAGGAGGGGGAAAAACTTGAGTTGACAAGCTCATTTACTTAGTTAAAAAAAAAAATGCTTTATCTAACTTTCCATTAAATACATTCTCTCCTTCCTTTTAGTTGCTTCTCTGTCCCTTACTTCAAGGTCTCTTTTATTCTTTCCACATTTTACCTGCATATTACAATTGCTTAAAGCAACTATTTATTTCCTACGGGCCTACACTCTTCCTTAAAATAGATCCTGTAGTTTTATTTAAAATGTGCAAGTACAGAAATACTGCTTTATGTATAATTCTCTAAAAAATTCAAATAGATTGTCTCCTTAAATTAACAGTAATGGAGAAAATTTGCATAATAGCTCCAAAGCAAAAATACCCTGAAGAATCTTTTGTAGTGGTGACTTTGTGGTCACATATTGTTTTAGTTTCTGCTTATTGTGGTAGACTTTTATTGCTCCATCTATTTTGAATGATAGTTTTGCTGGGTAGAATATCCTGGGGTTGAAGTTATTTTTATTCAGTGCCCAGAAGATCTCACCCCACGCTCTTCTTGCTTTTAATGTTTCTGTTGAGAAGTCTGCTGTGATTTTGATGGGTTTACCTTTGTATGTTACTTGTTTTTTCTCTCTTACAGACTTCAGTATTCTTTCTCGGGTCTCTGTACTTGTTGTTTTAATGATAATATGCCATGGGGTAGTTCTATTTTGGTCAGGTGTGTTTGGTGTTCTGGAGGCCTCTTGCATCTGTATGGAAATAGATTTCTCTAGATTTGGGAAATTTTCTGTTATTATTTTGTTGAATATATTACGCATTCCCTTTGCTTGCACCTCTTCTCCCTCTTCAGTGCCCATGATTCTCAGGTTTGGTCTTTTGATGGAGTCAGTGAGTTCTTGCATTTTCTTTTCACAGGTCTTGAGTTGTTTAACTAATAGTTCTTCGGTTTTTCCTTTACCATTTCATCTTCGAGTTCTGAGATTCTGGCTTCTGTTTGTTCTGTTCTGCTGGATTGGCCTTCCATTTTGTTTTGCAATTCTGTTTCGTTTTTTTCCTGAGGTTTTCCATATCCTGAGTTGTTTTCTCTTTAATGTTGTCTATTTTTGTCCTGAGTTCAATTATCTCTTTATTAATAGTGTTCTTTGTTTCACTTTGGTGTTTATACAGTGCTTCTATGGTTTCTTTTATTTCTTCTTGTGTATGTTCTCCCTCATATGTGGACATTAGATCAAGGGCAAACACAACAAAGGGATTGGACTTTGATCACATGATAAAGCGAGAGCACACATGGGAGGTATGAGGATAGGTAAGACACCTAAAAAACTAGATAGCATTTGTTGCCCTCAATGCAGAGAAACTAAAGCAGATACTTTAAAGCAACTGAGGCCAATAGAAGGGGACCAGGAACTAGAGAAAAGGTTAGTTCAAGAAGAATTAACTTAGAAGGTAACACATATGCACAGGAAATCAATGCGAGTCAACTCCCTGTATAGCTATCCTTATTTCAACTAGTAAAAACCCTTGGTCCTTCCTTCCTACTATTGCTTATACTCTCTCTTCAACAAAATTAGAGATAAGGGCAAAATAGTTTCTTCCAGGTAGTGAGGAGTAAGAGGGGGACAAGGGGAGGGAGTGGGGGGGGGTAAGAGAGGCGGGGGGGAAGGGGGGAGAAATGACCCAAACATTGTATGCACATATGAATAAAATAAAATTTTTTTTAAAATACCCTGAAGATATTACTATGCACAGTTCAGAGAATTTGAGGTTGTATTAACACTCTAATAATTCTAATGCCCACAGGCTTGCAACTGTGCCCAAACTATCAATTTTTTAAAAATCTAAAACAAAAAAAGCCACATTATTTTTTGGAAATTCTTACATTCTGTTCTGCCAATGAATAAACAAGCTGTGGAAGAATATCACCCTTCACAACTGCTTCTGCTAAGTCATCATTGTAATTGGCCAGTCTCCCAAGAGCCAAAGCAGCAGTCTGTTGAATTGTTGGAACCACATCCAGAAGAAGAGGCCTCAGCAAAGACATCACACCTGAGATAAATTATGAAAAACAGAAGTCAGCAAAATTTAAATTAAAAAGCAAACAAACAATTCAGCATATATACATAGACAAGAAAATCAAAGGTAAAACGTCAGTAGAAACAAAAAAACTTAAGAACTGGGCATGGTGACTCACCCCTGTAGTCCCAGTACTAGAGAAGCTGAGGCAGGAGGATGGAGCCATCTGGGGCTACATAGTAAGACTAAACCTAAAACCTAATGGGATATTTAGAAAGCGTCTAACTGGGCAAGGCACAAAATCATACAAGCTGTAACTATTAAACAAGCAGCACAGCATGGAAATAAGAAAGGCTCTGGGCTTTGGTAAGAGTTTAAGTCTCTCATTTAGCTATGTCACCTGAGAGGGTTGTCACGAGGAGTGCAGACAAAGCTTATAGAGTACAAGGTGTAAGGCCTAGCCCCTGGTGGGCAGGAAGGTGGGGGTAGGTTTACCCCCAGCCTTTGCAAATCCTATTGTTCAAGACTCCTTTCAAGTCTTTTCTTCTCAATGATGTCTTCTATTTGGTCTTTTCTCTTATTCCAACTAAACTTACACTTTGTTACAGAAGTTTTATTAGGATCTGTCTCACAGCTGAGAGAGCTAAGAGGGCCATTTGACTATGGCTTCATATTCATCAACTCAGGTGTGATGTCTTTGCTGAGGCTGCATGAATATTATCTCCAAATAAATTCCTTGAGATAAGGAAATATAATGTATTACTAACTCTCATAATATTCATTCTAGCATTAAATGCATAATACATATATCACCGCCACAACAATAAAAGCAGCTTATTGAGTACTTATTATATGAAAGCATTGTTCTGTACACTTTTTTTTCCATATTAGTTTACTTAACACTCATAACAAACTTATGTAGTAGGCTCTCATTGTATCTATTTTACAGATACAGGCTAAGGAAAGTTAAGTAGATTGTTCATAACTAGTAAAAAATAGAGCAAGGTTTGACTTGTTACTCATAATTATTAAATATATATATATTTAAATATGTTAAATATATATATATTTCTCCCCAGTTTTTAAACTTGATGTCATTACATCTTTTCCTTAAAAATATATCCTGGTAATATATATAAGCAAATAGTACAAGTATTCTATTATCACATTTATATCCTGAAACATTTGAAATAGAAAAAAGATAACATTTAGACCAAAGCAAAAACACCCTACAGATATTATGCACAGTAGAGATTAGACCAAAATGAGAAATAGTACCACTAAATAACATAAGCAGAAAACAATACTTATCATAGATACATTTCATGTTGTGACCTGTAGCTTTTCCTAGTTTCTACTTTCATTTAAACATTATTTTTATGTCTAGATTGGTTAGATTACATGGTCTTCTATCAGGTCACAACTGCCACGCGTGAATACCACGCAGACTAGTTAGAAGGCTCCTGCTCACACTCGGGTATAGCTTAGGTTAAATGAGTTCAATGTTCATAGATGTTGTTTATGTTATTATCTAGACTTTTTTTTTTTTTTTTACAGAGATAACTTCTGAGGTCTCACCAAAAAAAAGCCTAAAGCACAGAATAAGGTAATAGAATAACCACCAAATGTTGACACAGGTTATTTATGGACATAAATTTGTCGATCTCTTCCTTGTAGTTTGCTTTATTACTTTCATTGTTGTTTTACTGTGGTAAAATGTGAATCACAAAAATTACCACTTTGACCCTTTTTAAGTGTATACTTCAGTGGCATAAATACCACTCACAATGTAGAGCCATCACCATCTGAGAACCACCAAACTTCCCCAGTGGCCACGCCAATCTACACTTCTACCAGCAAAGTTCAACTTTCCTCTGTCCTCAATAACAACTACTGTAAAAATAACAGGATCCTCGTGGGTGTGAAACAGCATCTGCTTGTGGTTTTGGTTTCCCGAGTACTAATGCTCTTGAGCATATTTTCACGTGATTATTGGCCTTTGTACATCATTTTTTGGAGAAAAGCCTATTTAAGTCCTTTGCCCATTTTTTAACTGGATTGCTTTTGTTGTCAAGTATTACTTCACATTTTTATAATGAATATGTACCATTTTATTAAAAGAGATCAATACTATAAAGAGGAAAGCTAAATTTATTAACATGTATTTAAAATTTCAAAATAAATGCACTATTGAGGCTAAAAAATATAAAGTATGCTTAAAACAATTTTTTCCCACTTGATATATTTATGTGAAGGCAGTGGTTTATTGTCTTTTGAAATGTAATTGGGAAATCAGTCTATGCTCAAGAACGCTTAATTGTTATGTTAAAAATCTGATGAGTTAATTTATTTGGGGTTATAATATTTCATTTAATTATAAGGCCTATTAATTATAGCACTTAGCTAATCAACCACAAACCCCCCAATTTTGGAAATTTTCAGTTTACAATTTAGAAGTAAAATATTTTACCTCCCAAAATGGTATTTCATTAGTCTATATTCAAAGGACTTTTCGTCTTTATATGTTTTCTCCATTTTTCTACTGCATCTGGTTCATAAAATGTAAGGCCAAAAAATGACTCATAATTCTTTTATCTATTCCTACGTCCGATATCAAAGTTAAGCTTCTAAGTCAATGCTGCCGCCCGATCGTAACTGTCCTATACGCTTTAGTTCAGACAACAGCAGCAACCTGAAGAACTGCTACAATATCTGAAAAACAAGGTTCTAGTGAGGAGCTAGTGACACTGAGATCTCCTCTGAAGACCCCAATATGTACTATCTAATAATATTTTAAAAGTAAGAATTCAGGGCTGGGGGTGTGGCTAATTGATAAGAGTATTTGCTAGCATGTGAAAAGGCCCCAAGTTGAATCTCCGGCACCACAAAATACATACATAAATAAATAGAAAAAATAATTCATGTATTGTACTCTAACATCTATAAAACAATTCTGCCTACTCTATGAAAGCTGACAAAACGGTGTGAAAATATTTCTAGAATATAATTTAATGATAAATCATGATCACCTTCACATACATTTTGATTGAGTTCCTTTTCTATTTTTCTTGGATGTCATATTGGAAACATTCCAAATAACCTAACTAATTCTGTCCACAGTCATTCATTCAAACAATATATCAGGGTTAGACAAGTGGTAAAAAATAGAGACGTACAAGCAGGTGTGGTGGCACATGCCTATAACTCCAGTACTTGAGAGGCTGACACAGGATAATCTTGAGTTGGAGGCTACCCTGGGCTACACAGCAAGACCCTACCTCAAAAAAAAAAAAGGAATGTACTTATGAGTTAAGGCATCACCTACTGTCAAGAAACAAACAATGTAGTGGAAAGATTATAAAACAGCCTTAAAATAATCATAACTCTTTCATTTAATTCCTTATAACACAATGTAGTCAAAATTACTTTGGTTTTGCATGCTGATGGCATATAGAAATCATCAGGAAGAAAATGCTAAATGTATCCAATGACAAAAAATAACCCATCCATTCTTACATTACATGCATATAATTTACACACATATCACCTTCATCTGCTGTGTTCTATAAAGATATTTAAACAACTCAACTTTGCTCCTTTAGAAGGAAGTATTTTCAACTATAGTTCTTCCAGTCTGTGCAAATGTATTATAATAACCTTTAAAAGTATCTTTGTAGGATTGAGGATGTAGCTCAGCTGTAGAGCACTAGTCTGGCATGTGCAAGGCCCTGGGTTCAATCCCCAACACAATAAAAAAAAAAAAATGTACCTTCGTAATTAAAAAAAAAAAGTCTGCACACCTAGCCTTTGGTCTTTTTATGTCAGAATAAGGTATCTTGAGCTGAATGAGGTAGTGTATACACATAGTCCCAGCTACTCAAGGCAGGGGAATGGCTTGAGCTGAGGAGTTCAGGGTCAGCTTGGGCAACATAGCAAGACCCTATCTCTTAAAAATATAAATTTTAAAAAGAAGGATTTTTTGTTCTCCAGGTTACCTGCTATTAGCTTTGTTTTAATTTTTAAATTTTATTTCTTTTTAGTGGGATAAAATATACTAGTAACGAAATTTATTTTAGCTATTTTTAAGCATACAATTCTGTGGCATTAAGTACATTTCATAACGTACAATTCTCACCACTATCCATTTCTAGAATGTTTTCAGCATTCCTAACAAACAATACTCCATTTAAGACATTTCCCATTTCCCCACATTACCCCCCACCCCCAGCCCCTGGTAACATCCATTCTACTTCCTGTCTCTATTTTGCCTATTCTAGTATTTCATTTAAGTGGAGTCATACAATATGTGTCCTTTTATTGCCTGGTTTATTTCACTTAGCACATTTTCAAGGTGGAACTGTTAGATCAAATGGTAATTCTATGTTTAGCACTCTGGGGAACTGCCAGACTGTTTTCCATTGTGCTTTTACATTCCCATCAGAGCACATTCCTGAGCTAGAGGTGTGGCTCAAGCCATAGAGTGCCTGCCTTGTAAGTATAAAGCCCTGAGTTCAAAACCTTATGGTGCCAAAAAACAACAAAAAAGTCAAAGCACATTCCCAAGTAAAGCACAAGGGTTTCAATTTCTACACATACTCAGCAACATTTATTTTTTGGTTTGGGTTTTTTTTTTTTAATTTTTGTTTAAATAATAGCTATCCTAATGAACACCCAGTAGTATCTCATTGTGGGTTTTTTTTTTTCCCCCGGGCCTTGCACACCCTAGGCAAACACTCTTCCACTGAGCCACACTCTCTGCTTAGGAGAGATAACAGACAGGGTCCCTCTATGTTGCTTAGGTTGGACTTGAACTCCTCAACTTTTTGCCTTGCATTTCCCTGACTAATGAGCATCTGTTTCATGTGATTATTGGCCATCGGTATGTTTTTCTTGAAGAAATATAAATTACTCAAGTCCTTTGCCCATTTTTCAATTGGAATGTTTGTCATTGACTTGTAGGGGTTCTTTACATATTGCGCATATTAATCTAGGTTTTCAAAGTATTTTCTCTCATTCTGTAGGTTGTTTTCACA